ACTCAATATGGAACGACAACAGTATAGTTCGTTTTGTAATGGGGAGGCCATTGTACATAAAGAGTACACAAAGGATAATGAACCATGTTGTCTAGATGTGCTTCCAGCTGCCCACACATCTAGTGGTCATGATTCTGCTGGTGGTATGATTAGCTAGCATATTGAAAACCTTCTCCACAGAAAAGGCTATGCATAGCAATAGATAATTATATTGCTATTCCATTTATTTATGAGAAGAAGAAAAATCACAAAAAATCTTACCAGCTACTCTTTTGTCAAGGTTTTATCCTTGGCTGTCATGAATTCATGGGAGGAATGATGGGCATATGAAGAAAGTGCAAAGGTGTAAATTTTCATTGGTCCATAAAGGTTTTACTTAGCTATAAAAATAGCTGTTATTCCTTTAAAAATAGCTGTTATTCCTTTCCCCCCCCATGGATATTGTCACAAAGGTACTTTCTCACGTAGGTTCATATATAAGGAACATAATAGCATAATAGTGTTTTTTTTCTGAAACCTTTTCCAACTCTTTCCTTCATCAGTGCCATTGTGCAACAAATCTTTGTGACTATGTAAATCTTTACTGGAAAGTATTTAAAAAAATAAATAATTTATAACTATTTGTCTGATAAATTGAGATAGCCCCCCTCCCCAAACATTAAAAAAAACCAGAATAGAAAGTGTTTGTTTTTCATATAAATATTTTCCTCCAAAATTGCTTTTCAGAGTGATCTTTACAATACTGGTGAAGGGTTGGGTAATTTGCACAAGGCAGTCTAACTTTTTGTTCCAGTCAGCCTTAACTTTGTTAACAACAAATTTAGCGCTTTCTAACAGATGTTAATAAATTACACTTGTTGGTTTCCATTTCTGTGAGGATATGATTAATATTTCTAACATATCATAACCTTGGCTGCCAGTCTGCTACTGAGCACAATTCAAAGTGCTGGCTTTAGCCTATAAAGCCCTAAACAGTTCTTGCCCAGCTTACCTGTCTGAATGGATCTCCCCCTATGAACTATCTCGTAGTTTAAGATCATTTGGGGAGGCCCTGCTCTTGGACCCACCTTCTTTGCAGACACAACTGGTGGGGATGAGAGACAGGGCCTTCTCAGTGGTGGCCCCTCAGCTGTGGAATTCCCTCTCTAGGAATATTAGATTGGTTGCCTCCCTCCTGACCTTCCATA